CTCCATGACTATGGATTCACATAATTCATGTACTAGTGCGGTGTGGAGCCTTCTCAATTGGTAACAGTTCATGTGAAGACTTGGGGCTAACAGTCGGGAGATGCCATGGAGGAAAAGCACAACACTGGAAGCCACTCAGACATTAGTGTGTGATCGGGGGCTCATTGTTGGCTAAGTCATGTTATTTGGAACTTCAATTTTCTATATTTCAATTAGGACTAATTGTTTGCAGACATTTGAATTTGTGGAGGCAGGATATTTTTGAAAGCTTAATTTTCTGTTTTTTTTTTTTTTTCCTTCCCCTCTGTTTTTTCCCACTTCTTCTCCCTTTGCAAGCTGTGTGTGCTCATAGTTTCTGGGAATGATAAGGAAGAGGGGAGGATAGAAGTACTTAGAATATCTGTATTTTTTTCTCCATAGCTTAAAACACTAAAGGAAGTGAGCGGTGTTGGGGTACAGATAAATATTGAGATACAATGATAAAGAGAAGCTGGCTTCCTTCCCTCAGGTTGGAAAAGGAAGGAAGAGAGGCTGGGGTAAAGGCGGGGTAGTTAAGCAGATCAGGGGTCTAAATGGTTTTCAAGAGGAATCCTGAATCTCTGATGGTGGCCAAGGGAAAGGCAAAATAGCGGAGAGGGGAGCCTTGGAACGGCTAAGCTGATGAAGACTGGACTGTCCATCAAGGGAGTCCAGAGAATGCCTGGGAACTGGTACTGTGCATAGCCACAGCTTAAGCCTCCACTTGAGCCATTGGCATGATATGAGTGCCAGTTCAAGACCTGGGGACTCAGTTTCCAATCCAGCTCCCTGCTAATGTGCCTTGGAAAGCAGCTGAAGATGACCCAAGTACCTGGACCTTTGCCACCCACATGGAAGACCTGGATGGAGTTCTAGGCTTCTGGCTTTGGCCTGGCCCAGCATTGGTGTTATGGTCATTTGAGAAGTGAACCAACAAAATGGAAAGATCTCTCTCTCCCTCGCCATCCCCCCTTCTGCCTCTCTCTCTCTCTCATTCTGTCACTTTGCCTTTCAAATAAGAAATAAATAAATTGAGAGAGTGAGAGAGAGAGAGAGAGAGAGAGAGAGAAAGAAACATGGAAGAATCTCCCTGACTACACTGATGTCCCAAGTTGACCATCCAGGAACTTTATTGATTGAATGTATTGACATGAGTAAGTCAAAGTCCTTGTTTCTTCTACCCCCTCTGCTGAAGAAAGCCATCAGCCTGGTTAAAGGGGACGACTAGACTGATTAAAGCAGAACGGGAGATTAAAACACAAATTTACAATTAAGTTGAATTATTTACAAGTTAGCAATATGACTTGTGGAATAAAATTTATACACTCCCTGGAGCATCCTAGAATATCAATCTATTTTGGCTGCTCTTGTCTCTGCTATAGATATTTTACGTGGTTGCTCGAGAAGTCAATATTACCATTTATTTACACAAGAATAAAATCCGGTTCAGGAAAGATAAGGATCTCTCTGCTAGCATGGGGTGAGGTATGGAATTCACTCTGAGTACAGTGTAAAGTGGGCCGATGTTGTACACACGGAAGGACAAATCACACGTAGTATGGAACCAGACACTAAATGGTTAAAACAATGTGGGCTGTGAAAACCAAATAAGGGAAAGCTGAGGAGAAAGATGAAAGCTGCCTTCAAATATCTGAAAGGTTTATTGTGGAAAATAGAATGTCCTTGTTCTGAATGGAAGTTGAAGGCAAGACTATTCGATTCAATCACTGGGGAGAGAGGAAGTTTCTCATAGTTGAATGTTCATCAATGTTAAGGGATTCAAACAGATGTTCAATATTCATTTTGTGTGGAATGTTGACAGAGGATTCCTGTATGCAGAGGAATGTGGCTCTGGCACTTTTAGTTTTAGGAGGATGTGATGTGTAGGGCAGGCAGAGGCCACTGACATTACCAAATTCCAGAAAATATGCTGAGTTTTCTATATCTTTAACTCACTGAATCTGCCTAAAAGAGTTAAACATTTTGAGTATTGTAATTCTTAATTTTGCAAACCAGGCCTATATAGTTTCCATGGCAAACTGGCAGATTCAGTGTTGGTCAACTGAGGGTCAGATTTTCTACATGCGTCTATGACATTAAAAAAAAATCCCCTCCATTATATACATTTTCCTAATATGCTTTTTAAAAGAAATATATATATTTCCCTTGATATGCTCCTTTAAAGATATTAGATATTGCTAACATACTGATCAATGGCAAGCATACTTTAGCTACGATACATGTGATTAAATAAAAATATCAATGCATGTATTATGAAGATACATGTTAATATATTATAGCACATTTAAATAATCACTGTTCTACCTGCCAGAAGAATTTTCATTTGTTTTGGTTAATGTGAGGGTTAATTTTAAGTGTTAATGTGTCATGGCCATGGTGTCCAGATATTTAGTCAAAGTTGTTGTGGATATTTCTGTAAAGGTGCTTTTTTTGGATGGGATTAATATTTAAATCAATGGACTTTGCGTAATGTCCTCCAGGTTCATCTATGTTGCAAATGGTAGAATTTCCTTCTTTTATAAGGCTGAACAGAATTCCATTGTGTATATATATGTCACATTTTCTTTATTCATCCATTAGTTGATGGACAAAAAGAAAAATAATCCATGATCTCACTTAGTTAAGGGGGTTTCAAAAAGTTCATGCAAAAGATGTATTATGGAAAGTTTACACATGGATTTCAAAAGTTTTTTGCATCCATGAACTTCTTGAAGGCCCCACTGTAAAATAAACTCATACAGAGTAAAATGGTGATCGTCAGAGGGTGAGGGGGTAGGGACAGGAGGATGTTGATCTAAGGGTACAAAGTTTCAGTTAAGAGACATAAGTTTTTGAGATCTATTGGGCATCATGGTGATTATAATTAATGTTATATATTCCAAAATAGCTAAGTTTCAAAAGTTCTCACCATATGTGATGCATGTGGTATTTAGGTTGAATTAATTATTCCACACGGTATACTACATACAAACGTTACATGTACCCATAAATGTATGTAACAATAGTCAATTAAAGATAAAACATGAATTTAACAAAATAACTTAATAAAAAATCAGTGAACTTGGAATAAAGCTGATTCTCCTCCATAATGTGGGTGGACTTCATGCAATTCATTGAAGGCCTTAACAGAACAGACTGACAGCCTCCAAGCAAGAAGGAATTCTGTCAGCAGAATGTAATTGAACTTGGACTACACCTCTTCCCCAGGTCTCCAGCAGGCGCTTATAACACTGCAGATTTTGGACTTGTACTTCCTCAATTGTGTGAGCCAATTCCTTAGAGTAAATCTGTTATACATCCACGCATTCAGTTGGTTCTGTTTTTCTGCAGCACTCTGGTTAATACAGCTGTTTGTTTCTTTGTATGCCTTAGGTTTCCTGTTTTTCTTCTCGTTTTAAAATTCTGTGAGTGAAACAATCACATGTCAGAGCTTGGAGGCAGATCTTTCCTTAGTTCAACCTTCAGGCATAGCCACAGACTTCATCACCACTTTGATTCCAATCTTGTGAGAGACTTGAACTAAGCTGCAGGCAGATTCCACACCCACCGAAATGTGAAATAACAAATGTTGCTTAATAGAGAAATTACATGAGTGGAGCTTTAAAATTTCCCATGGGATAAACTGGTGTACTAGAGACTGACTTGAATTAGGAGGCTGGGGGCCTGGGTAGTAGCCCCTGGTCCCCTCTAGCTAGAGTGTGCAGACCTCACACCTCTGGGTCCCCTTTCTCTACCCCTGTATTATGAGAATGCTGAGCAGAGGAACCTGAGCTTCCTTAAGTGCTACAATTCAATGTCTCTCTTAATCCCCCCACTTTTTTTTTAAAGATCTATTTATTTGACAGAGTTAGAGAGAGGTCTTCCATCAGCACTCCCCAAATGGCCCCAAGAGCCAGAGCTGGGCCAATCTGAAGCCAAGAGCCAGGAGCTTCTTCCAGGTCTCACACAGGGGTGCAGGGGCGCGAGCACTTCGGGCCGTGTTCCACTGCTTTCCCAAGCCAGTAGGAGGGAGCTGGATCAGTACTGGAGCAGCCTGGGCTCCAACTGGCGCCCTTAAGGGATGCCGGTACGGTACTGCAAGTGGAGGCTTAACCTGCTTTGCCACATAGCAGATCCCTAATCCTACAGGATCCCTAATCCTAATCCCTAATTCCTCAAAATAAATACCGATAAAAGTCACATGTAGGACACACCCTAGACTCAGATCTCCAGATCTGGTGTCAACAGTCCAGCTTCCCTTCTTATGGTAACTACCTGTGCTCAGGTCTGACTCTACCTCTTTTTTATCCCACCCCAACAGTTCTCCATCAGCAAACAATCAAGGTGAAATCACTGGTTCAGCCCTTGCGTGGGCGGCCTGGGCGCGCACCATCTGCAGAGCAAACTGGCCTGCTCTGGCTGTCAGCGCGCGCACAGTTCTGGCTCTGGGAAGTTCGCCTCTAGCACGTGGTGCGTACCTTTGGTGGGACACAATGGGAAGGGACCCTCTTATAAGTGGGAGCCCCCTTTTCCCGGTTCTCATCTCCAGGGAGGTGTGTCCAAGTCCCTTTTCCGGGAGAGGAGAGGAGGAAGAAGGGAGACAGAAAAGTGAAAAGTAAAAAGTAAACGGCCCAGGAGCAAGGTGAAGGGGTCCTGTGCGGCGTCCCAGGTGGCTGGGAGCGCGATAGTGGCGCGGGTAGCGACAAGATAATGCCCTCCCATGACGCCTGCGTCCCGAGTTTCTCATTTCTTTCACCGAGGGTCTCTAGGGTTCAGGAATCGCAGCTTTAGGGTGGCCTGCGGGTCTACCCTGACCCCTCCCTGCCTGGGAACCCCGCCGGGCTCCGCGCCCACCTCCCACCCACCCCAGCCCGCCCCCGCCTTCTCCTTGCTGCCCGCTCCGTGAGCGCTGGTCCCACCCCGCGGGGCGACTGCTCCCATTTTGTCCCTGGGGTTGACGATCCTGGGTGGGGCAGCAGCGCCTTCGGGACGGCCCACGCCGCGCGACTCCGCGACCGGGGCCGCCCGAGGGCCGCGCGCAGCCGGGTCAGACGCCCCGCGTCGCCGGGGCAGCCGCACCTGAGCCCCCAGCTCCGGCCCAGCGGCGGCGCCGGAAGCGCGGGCGGATCGCGCGCGCTCGCGGAGGGCAGCCTGAGCCCGCGGGGTGGGGGACGAGAGCCGCAAAGCGGGTGGCCGCGTCCCGCCTCACTCCGGCGCGGGCGACGACCTGCCAGTCGCCCCTTCCTTCCCCCCACCCCTCACTGCCCCTCCTGGCCCGGCCCCGAGCACCCCAGCGCCGGCGCTCAGGCAGACCCAACTTCCTCAGCCTTGAACTCCACTCCAAGTTCTCCGCGAGGAGGAACCTGCCGCCCGCCCCCTCGCTCACGGGATCCGCACTTGAACTCCGCGGCGCCGGGGTCCACCTTGCGCCGCCCCGCGCGCGGGTGAGGAGCAGCTGCCCGGAAGCCCCGATGAACTCTCCAGAAAGGGCGTGAAAGAGGGGTCCGGCCGCCGCGCGCCGCCCGGGCGCCAGGGGTCCCCGCGGTGGAGATCGGAGCGGCAGAGCGAGGGGGAGCGGCTGAGGAGGACCGAGCGGCCCCTGGGCACCTCTGGCAGTAATGCCAACATGTAAGTGTCACCTCTGGACTCACGCTTCCTTCACACCTTGCTCTGAGCCCTGCATCTCCGCCCCCCCCCCCCCCATTTCCCTCATCTAAGCGATTTTGAAAAGGAATTTCAGCTCCTTTGACGGCATAAACCGGTTTGTCTTCACCCTACCCCTCGAGGCACTGAGGAATGAGTCTTGCCAAAGGCAGCTGTGACATGTGTGCGGCTGACTTTCTTCTTCTTTTTTTTTTTTCTTTCCCCCACAGCGAGAGGTAAACCTCACATTTGGGCGGTGTGAAGGGCAGGGCTTCAAAAATGGGGAAAACGTGTTTTCGATTCAAATTAAACAAGGAGTAACAGGCACCGCTGCTGCTCCGTCCAGGGCCCTGGCCCTGCCAAGCAAGAGCTCTCCGCCATCAACACCTGGGGGCCTGGAAGGTACTGGTTTGTGGAGAGAATGTTGACTTTGCACCTTGTCGCTCCGTGCTTGTAACAGTTGTTCTTGGATCTCTGGGGGCAATTTGGGATTACTTTTCTCTTCCGTTTTTACTTTGTAGAGTGAAACGTGAGGAATAGGCTGGCGCAAGGGGACTTGCGGAGAATGCTCCGGGGAGATAAGGGAGGCCGAGAAGGGTAGAGAAATCTAAAGGGCTTTGCTTCTGGGGAATCCTCGGGAAGAGGTGAGGTGCCTCGGTGATGCCGCACAAGGATGGCCGGGCACCGCGTGACCCTCCAGAATGGAAAAAGAAAGGTTGTTCTCCAAAGGGCCAAGCTTATTTTTGTGGCCAGCCAAGCAGTTACTTTTTCTTGCACTATGCAATTTTCTTGCTGGTGTTTAATCTTGGGCAGACACCCTTACAGACATTTTACCCACTTCCACTAACTGGTGTATGAGAGTTTCTAGAAACTGATGATCATCCTTTCTTCCACTGCTCTGGGATGCTTACTCATTTCCAGTTGACTTTTCCCTTTCAGGTTAATACTTGGGAAAAGATGGCCACTCAGGGTCCTGTCTCCTTGCCCTGCCTCCTACCCAAGGAGAAAGAGTGGTGGCGGTCAGCTAGTGCTGCAGCTCTGTTGTGGGTAGTGGGCAGTATACCGACACCATTCATTTTTGTTACACTGGTGGGAAGTCGTCCCACACCTGTGAGGCTCAAAGTTACAGAATTGCCAGAGAAATCAGCAAGGTATAACTTAGAAGACTTTATTTTGGGATCTGGCCAGTAGTCTCATATAAGACTTGTTCTCTTATTCAGCCAACACATTTTGAGTGAATATGAGTTTGTTTTCAATTTCAAGTTTTCCTGAAAATACCGAAGAGTTCTTAACAGCAGATCTTTGTCCAACTTCCTTTCAGCTTTCCTAGGTATTAGGATCATATGGGGTAGAGGTAAATTATTTATTTAAAAAAAAAGGAATGTCAGTTTTTAAAATGTGAAACTGACCAATAGATGATGTAAAACATGTCCTGATTATGAAATTAAGTTATAGTCCATTTGAATTCAGTGTGATTAAAAAAATCTTGTTATTATAGAGTAAATGCAGGGATATTCAACCACATAGACTACAGTGTAGTACCCTGATTTGATTTTCTTTGAGCTATTTTGACAATAGTTTTAAAATTTTTTGCCAGACTCGCAGTGTAGTTTTTCCACTTGTTATTTCACTTGGAATAACTGAATATCTTCTGAATCTTTTAACATATTGATATGGTAGAAAATATGGAAATAATACCAACCTTTCCAATGTAAATATTCCCACTATTTTGTTAAGCAATGTTAATGATATTCTTTTAAATTTTAATAAATTCAAGTACCTAAACTATTTAAGTGTATGTTATGCTACTCCTTGTGCAAGTGTATGTATTGTTACTCTGAAGTTCTGAAATTATAGACTTATAAATCAACTTGAGAGTTGCAACTGCATACTTTAATACCTTAAGAAATTTAATAGATTTAGCAAGAATTGGGATAATTGGTCTGAAATTGCATAAAGCTACTGTTCTGTTTACGGTTTATATAAATTACATGACATTGTTCTTTTCCAATATGAATGGTGAATGAGACTATTGTCTCTTGGCTTATGGGAAATATTAGATGCCTGTATTTTTACTGCCTAACTGGACATGTCACTATGATTTCTGGAAATAATGATTTGAAAAAGAGTTAGTTTATAGATTAAAAATAAACTGACAGCTGCTTCCTTAAACTTGACTGTTTTTCTAACTGCCCATATATCTTACAGAGTTTATACTTTGAATGGGTTGATTAAAAATTACTAGAGACTACTTAGATTTTTATTTAGACTAAATAAAAAAACACTTTGTTCAATGTGTGTGGTATGCATGGGCAAAACTGAATCTTTCCATTTTTATTTTTAATTAGATGACATCATTATATTATCTACATTGGATGACATTAAGATGCATACTGGATGATCAGGGAAAACATTTAAAGAATAAATCAATCACAGCTAAAAATGCCAGGAAAGTTTGAGTGTGGCGCCCTGAGTATCATTTTACTTTGCATGATAAGCTTATTTAGGATGGAATCATTTGGAGTACCTTAAAAAAACACTTAAAGATTAATGTTTAAATATTTAGGGCAAACTTGATAGACATTATATACAATATAGAATTTCTTTTCAAAAATCACATCATTGAGAAAAACATGTATATTGTGATGGAAAACTACACAAATTACTTGAACATGCCAGTCTAAATAAAGGAAATCCACATGGAGCAGTATTTATTTTATCAAACTGATAATAGTAAAGTAATAATAATAGTGATAAGAATATCATGAAATAAAAACACTGGTATACTTTAGTATAAGTGGGTGTTTAATTTTTTTAGAAATAATTTTAAGCTTATCTGAAACTTGTGAGAATAAAAAATAATACAAAGGACACCTGCATACCATTTATTAAAAATCACCTATAATAAATATTAATCCCATTTATCATTTTCCTGCTTCCATTGGGTCCCTAGGCCCCCCCCCCCCGCCCACACACACACATACACACACACAGATTTTTTTTTTTTTTTTCTGAATCATCTGAGAGTAAGTTGTATGTAGCAGGGATTCCGGAGGGGACCTTTTTAATGAAAACTTTTAAGACATTAGTAGATTCAGATGGAGTTGTAAAGAAATCAGCTCCGCAGTTGATCAACTCTACAGAGATAGCCTTTACCCAGTTCCTGTAATGGTAATATTTTGTAGAAGTATCTTACAAAATCAAAAACCAGGATTTGATAGCATCTACTTATCTTTTTCCTATGCCCCCAATTTTATGTATACTGATTTGTATGTATTATTCTTAAGAAATTTTTTAGGCTTACCTAAGATATAAGCCTGTTATGAGTGTTATTGTTCAAATAAATGTTTAGAATTTGTGCATATTTGAGGACTAAATCAGGCTTTTTAAAGTAGAGATGAACCCAACTTAATAAAAGAACTTCAACTAACTATATAGCACTTTTTTTGTGTATATTATATAAGCTTGAGAACAAGATCTTGAACAAAAAGAAGAAATACTATTCTGAGCAGCCCCCCCCCCTTCATTTATTTGTTTATTGGAAAGGCAGAATTGGGGCCTGCACTGTGGCTCACTTGGCTAATCTTCCACCTGTGGCGCCAGCATCCCATATGGGCACCGGGTTCTAGTCCCGGCTGTTCCTCTTCCAGTCCCGCTCTCTGCTGTGGCCCAGAAGGGCAATGGAGGATGGCCCAAGTGCTTGGATGCCTGTACCCACGTGGGAGACCGGGAAGAGGCTCCTGGCTCCTAGCTTCGGATTGGCATAGCTCCGGCCGTAGCAGCCATTTTGGGGGTGAACCTACGGAAGGAAGACCTTTGTCTCTGTCTCTCTCTCTCACTGTCTAACTCTGTCAAATTAAAAAAAAAAAAAAAGGCAGAGTTACAGAGATAGAGAGAAACAGATCTTCCATCCACTGGTTTACTCCTCAAATGGCCATAGCAGCAGGGGCTGGTTCAGGCCAAAGCCAGGAGCCAGGAGTTTCTTCCTGGTCTCCCAGATGGGTTCAGAGGCCCAAGGACTTGGACAATCTTCTGCTGTTTTCCCAGGCTCATTAGCAGGGAGCTGGCTCAGAAGTGGAGCAGCCTGGACTCGAACTGGCGCCTGTATGGGATGGCAGCACTGCAGATGCTGCCCTAAACTGCTGCACCGCAGCGCCAGCACCCTGAGCAGACTTTAATAAACCAAGTTGATTCTTTTCACTCTGAAAGAATCAAGGTATTCCTTTTGTCACTCCAAAAATCCCTTTTTGAGAAGATTTACTATCAAAACAAATTTGAGATAGCAGAAAAAAAGTTAATTTTGACTGTTGCTGGTATTGATAGAATTAGGACTGTGTCAGCTTCTCCACTGAATATCTTTAAGTTGTTTTTGGGGAAACCACTAGGAGTAGAGAAATGGAAGATAGTAGGTTTTTAACATTACTTCAGTGATACATTTTTGTACAATTAGGTCTACAAGGGGTCATAACCCCATTTAAAACAATTGCTAATAAAAAGGTTACATTCTATAGCTTCCAAAAAACAGAAAAGCATATTATATCTCGGAGTCATTCAGCACTACTAGTTTGAAATAGAGGTAGCTTGCTTTGCAAAAAAGGGCAGCTGTGTTGGAAGCCAGGTAACTATGTGACCTTTGACTCCGGTGTCATGGATTATGTGACCTGGAGCAAGTGTTTAGTATCTTAGTTTTTTTCATCTGTGAGATAATAGGTTTTAATGCATAATTTTATATTCCTTTCAGATTAGAGATGTTGTTCTTTCTGTCACTCACCTTTTCTCCCTTTCTCTCTCCTCTCTTTCATTTAGTTACAATGATTTTTTTCTCTTCAATTCTTCAGTAAAACTTTGAGATGACCCTCAAAATGGTATGAGGCTGTACTATTTTTTGTAGTTCCTATTTAGATCCTTAGTAACCCTGTTCAAGAGTTTCCATTCTTGTGAGAAAGTTGTTTAAATCCCAGGGATGTGTCTTTGCTAAGTGATCCCCTGAGAAGACACACAGTGCTTTCCTTCCTCTGTTCTATTCTTAATTTATTTGTTTCTGTTCTTCAGTAAACAGTAAAGTGGGTGAAAGCTGGCTTGTCATATGGTTTATGTTTGGTTACAAGTGCTTGCCCTGTCCTCAGTTCCTTTTTTGTCTGAAGTGATGGAATCTTGAGACCTGGAATGCATCAACCCTGGTGGTCATTTGCCGCTATTGCCTGATAGGATGGCAGGCAGGTTTGCTAAGACAACTTAAGGACTGGATATGAAATCCTTAAATATCAGAACCTTATATAGCAAAGGAGAAGTTGCATGAGCTTGTAAAATAAACAGTATTGAGTGTAGCCAAGCCAAGGAGCACAGTTCCCTAAATCTTGTTGAGTGAGTACATGAATTTGAGAGGGAACCATTATTCACATGTGGATAAAGGAGAATTGTCATGTGCCACAAAGAGTAAGAGCTGGCAGTTCTCTAAGGCCGATACTTCCTTCTGTTAATATCTGTGAGGCTGGCAGCCAAGTTTGATTGATTTGCCCCTTTATTTTTCTAGATCTCTGTTTCCTCCCTGGTGAAATGAGGAGGTTAGATTTCATCTTCCAGCTCGAAACTCTAAACTCTGAATGCATAATTGTTCCTTTGTTTTAGAAGCAAACTCACTTTATTTTAGAAGCAAACAGTATGAATGGGAAACACTTTATTTATCTAGCATCAATAAGAAATGGACCTGTTGGGGACTGCATTGTGGCAAAGCAGGATAAGCCGACACCAGCAACGTGGGCATCTCATATGGGCTGGTTTGTTTCCCAGTTGCTCCTCTTCCAATCCAGCTCCCTGCTAATGGCTTGAGTAAAGAAGCAGAAAATGGCCCAAATGCTTGGTCCCTTGCCACCCACTTTGGAGACTTGGAAGGAGCTCTTGGCTCCTGCTTCAGCCTGGCCCAGCAATGGTCATTGTGACCATCTGGGGAGTGATACAGTAGGTGGAAAATTTCTCTCTGTCTCTCTCTGTCACTGTGACTTTCAAATAAATAAATAGAACTTAAAAAATTGACATGTTCTTCAAGTGAACTTTATGTGACAAACATTTGTAATCTACCCAAATGCACCAAAACTGTTATCTCTAGGACTACTTTTGATGGGTAATATCCATTTATAGGAGAGGAATAAGGCTCAGAGTTTAAGTGTTTGCTCCCCAAACCACAAGATTAATAGAAGAACCAGCATGCAAATGTGTGCCATTTCAGAGTCCATATGCATTAGTATTGTTATTATTACTTACTAAAATAAACTAATCATTAGCAGTCACAACTTTTAAATTCAATGATTTTAATAGATGCATTTCAAAACATACCATCCATAAAAAATAGTCTTCATATCGTAAACTTGCCCTTGTTTAGAATTCTCAGTAGGAGAGCTGCAATTAGAAGTTTCTGGAACTTCTGATTTGGTGAAAACAAAATTGTGCCGTGAGTTTCAGACATAACTTAAAATTACTATATTCTTAGCAGACAGGAATAACTGATTTCATTTCTCTTCCCGAGTGGTTCTAGAAGTGAGCATGAAGTCAATTGATTGGTGTTGACATATAAGACTAATCCTGATATCCATTCTTAGTTTTGTTCTTTTGATTTCATTGTTGGCAGGATAACCACTTATTTAGAATACCTAAGGTAATGACAATAGCTGATGTTTGTTGAGCTCTTGCTGAGTATCAGACATGGTTTGTAAAGATACTATCTTATTTAATCATCTCACCCACACTGTTTTACAACTGACAAATAGGAGGCACAAGATGGTCAAATAAATTTCCTAAGGATTGAATAGTTCATAAGTAGCAAACTTGGATCTGACGCTAATGCTGTTCCCTTTGCCATGAGATGGTCTCTTGTAGTAAAAGAAAGATTAAAAAATGCAGGCCTATGGCAAATATAGGAAGTATTTGATGTCTGCTTTGTTCATTGTGGTATTTCTCTTCCTACTTTTCTAGTTTTCTGTTTAGGATTGCACAGTTTCCCCAAGCAAGCAGCCTTCAGGCTCTAAGGAATGCTTTACTGTGGTTCTAAACTGTGTTATGAGTTGCCCCCCCCCCCTTTATTTTTTAGAAACCAGCTGATTCTTAACTACCATTTACAGGCAAACTAACTGGGGATTTTAAGATCTGGAGGTTTCTTACTGCTAGTCAACATCTTTTTTTTTTTTTTGACAGGCAGAGTGGACAGTGAGAGAGAGAGAGACAGAGAGAAAGGTCTTCCTTTTTTTGCTGTTGGTTCACCCTCCAATGGCCGCTGCGGCCGGCGCACCGCACTGATCCGAAGGCAGGAGCCAGGAGCCAGGTGCTTCTCCTGGTCTCCCATGGGGTGCAGGACCCAAGCACTTGGGCCATCCTCCACTGCACTCCCGGGCCATAGCAGAGAGCTGGCCTGGAAGAGGGGCAACCGGGACAGAATCCGGCGCCCCGACCAGGACTAGAACCCGGTGTGCCGGTGCCGCTAGGCGGAGGATTAGCCTGTTGAGCCGCGGCGCCGGCCCACTAGTCAACATCTTAATGCCTGATGCATCAGCCCCTTTTATGGGCTCTCTTGGTGATTGACTTTTATTCTTGCTGCCCCATCCCATGCTGGTCTCATTGGAGCTAATCCAATGAGATGTATCAAAGTGTTGTTCTTACGCCAAGAGAATATGGAGATTCCATTCTAAAACATTATTATATATAACTTAAAAGATGAGATGCTTGTGTAGAATAATTAAGTTTTCAAAGCACCGTCCCTCCATCCATTGTGATTTAGTAATTTCTGTAATACTCGATATTCATTCTTGATTTAAAATCATTGATATGGCTGGCATCAATGGCACAGAGTTAAACCACTGTCTGCAGTGTCAGCATTCCATATGGGCTCAGGTTCGAGTTTGAGTCTTGGCTGCTCCAATTCGGATCCAGCTCCCTGCTAATGCACCTGGGAGGACAACAGAAGGTGGCCCAAGTCCTTGGGCCCCTGTACCCACATAGGAGACCCAGAAGAAGCTCCTGGCTTCCAGTTCGGCCTGGTCCAGCTCAGGATATTGTGGCTGTTTGGGGTGAACTAGCAGATAGAAGATCTCTCTCTCCCCCTTTCTCTCTCTCTTTTTCTTTCTCTCTCTCTTTTTAACTCTGCCTTTCAAATAAATAAATAGATAGTCATTGTTATATTTGAAGCATTCTAACTTTTTGGAATGGTAATATAAGGCTTCATTTTAGGAGAAAAAAGAAAACAGGCAATTTAATTTTACTTTAAATAATTCCATGTGTAAAACTGAATAACAATGACATACTTTCAGTTTTCTTTATAATCTCAAATTTAACCCACCACTAAATAAAGAATTTAGCTAATGGCCAGTGCTGTGGCATAAGGGATTAAACCACTCCCTGCAGTGCTGGTATTCCCATATGGCCAAGGTTCCAGTCGAGGCTGCTCCACTTCCAATCTAGCTTCCTGCTAACATGCCTGGAAAAGCAGCCTGGGATAACAATTGATGGCCCAGGGGCTTGATGCCCTGCCACCCACATGGGAAACCCAAATGAAGTTCCTTTCTCCTGGCTTCATATCGGCCATTGCAGCCATTTGAGGAGTGAACCAGCAGATGGAAGATTCTCTCTCTCCCTCTGTCCTCCCACCCCCAAAACTCTGCCTTTCAAATAAATAAATAAATATTTTTTTAAAATTCAAGTAATAAGTAGAAAAATCAGCATGATATTATAAAAATTAAAAATAAGAAGGAGGGAAGCTGGGAGACAGGGAGGGAAGGTAGAGTAGGAAGTACAATTATGCTCTTAAAACTGTGTATATGAAGTACATGAAATTTGTTCCCTTTATATAAATAAGTTTTAGAAAACCTGGATAACATTATAAAGTGAACACATATCCTTAAAGCCTAAGTGTCTGAGAAATATAGGGGTGATTGATAAAAACATATTCCTGCTACCCAGATGGGCATGTTTCTGATGAGGTTGAAGCTAATGTTTTGTTTAGTTGAACGGCAGAGCCCTAGGGAAAAGGAGACAGAAGGAGATCTTCCATCTGCAGGTTCGTTCCTCAATGCCTACAATAGCCTGGGCTGGGCCAGACTGAAGCCAGGAGCCTAGAACTCCATCTGAGTCCCCACATGGGTGACAGGGTCCCAACTACTTGAGCCATTAATTGTTGTCCGCCAGTGTGCACAGTAACAATGAGCTGGACCAAAAACAGAGTGGGGACTTGGTCTCCTTCACTTTGATAGGGGATGTGGGTATTCCAAAGCACATCCCGTAAGTTGCTTTTTTTTTTTAATAATTATATTTTCTTGAACTGTCTAGACATTTACCCATCTTCAAAAAGAAATTATTATATATATTCTGATAAAGTGCCACCAAATGGCAAATAAATTCATGAATTTCTAATTTCTTTTTCTTTTGCTAATTAACTCAAAACAGGTGATTAGGTCATCATCATCTTTTAAGTTCCTTCTTTGTTTGAAAGCAAGATTATAAAAGGTTTCTTTTCTCTTATCCCTGCTGGGAACACACATTTTCAGTTTGTTTGTCACAGTACTTCACTGAGATTGAGTGGCCTGATTGCAGCTTTGTTTGATTGCAGGATGTTTCACACAGGTCCAATGTGGAACTGCCATTGGAAATGGAAGCTGAGTTCCTTTCTGTTCCTATTTGCTTTGTGCATCATTTGTGTTGCTCACTCAGGTAAGACTCTTATCTCTTATAAATCCAAAGTTTAATGATAATATTGTCTTCAGGGTAAATGCACTAATTATTCAAGTTACCTTATTTGTTGCTTTTTTTCCCTCCTGTTCTTGTCCTTACAGGATTTGATCTGTGTATGCTCTCTGTCCTTTCTGAATTAAGTGTGAATACCATTACTTTGATCTTTGTTTTGTTTCCTAAGAATTTATTTCTTTAATCTTTGCTATTTTGGGTTTATTTATTTATGAAGTACATATTGAATGATGAGATAACTGTATAATTTACATTAAGAAAGTGCTAGCTACTTCTTCTATTATTGAATAAATATACAACACTTAGTTATCCTTTCAACTTTTCAAATAGTTAATTGTGGAAAGTACAGACTGCTATTTTCATTCATTCTTTTGTTACTGTGTTGCAGTATGAAATAGGATTTTGAAATTAGGCTTCACAGTTTATTTAGTTTACTTAATATGGAAAAGTTAACTTGAATTGCTGTATTTTTGGAATTAAAATATCTATTTTTATAGTTAGTTTTTTCTGATCTTTGTAAAATGTGTTCCTTTTGGCTATGGAAAACTAAGTTTTCTGTAAATAGCTAATTATAGGAATAGCCAATCACAGGCTGAAGAATGTGATGTTTAAAAGTAAAGTATTGCTTCTTTATTTAGTTTTGTCACTGAGGACATTTTATTTCTCTTATATCCATTCTGTTTATTTACTTTCTCCAATATTTATTAAATTTATTGTGTTTTCCTTTAGAATAAAACGAAAATGTCAATTTAGGAAATCATTATTTTTGAAGTCTTATTTATTACTTGGGATTTAATCACTATTATAAATTCCATAGCTGTATCTGCTAGTATAAATGATACACTTAAAGAACCATGGAGTAGTTTATCTGCTAAATTTGCTCATGCATGGATCAAGCAATTCAACTTGTGTTTAGTACGTAAATACTTGTTCCAGCTACCAAGTATTTTCAGAGTTGGAAAATCTTGAAAGCTGAAAAATCTCTGTTCTTGTTTGATGGCTTAAAAAGAAAACTGATCTTTCAGTGGATTTTGTGTGTATTTCTTAGGATTTCATAGTGAAGTTCCCCTTCCTGGTACTGTCACTTCCAGAAAGAGGAAACACACTTAGAAAGAGATCTGGAAATAAAGCATATATTGGATTTTATGATGTACAGTGTTGAACTGTCTTTTAACTTTCAGAAGTGATTGATCCTTTAAGAATCAATACATAGGCCAGCGCCGCGGCTCACTAGACTAATCCTCCGCCTTGTGGTGCCGGCACACCAGGTTCTAGTCCCAGTCGGGGCGCCGGATTCTGTCCCGGTTGCCCCTCTTCCAGGCCAGCTTTCTGCTGTGGCCCGGGAGTGCAGTGGAGGATGGCCCAAGTACTTGGGCCCTGCACCCCACGGGAGACCAGGATAAGTACCTGGCTCCTGCCATCGGATCAGCGTGGTGCGCTGGCCACGGCGGCCATTGGAGGGTGAACCAACGGCAAAAGGAAGACCTTTCTCTCTCTCTCTCTCACTGTCCACTCTGCCTGTCAAAAAAAAAAAAAAAAAAAAAGAATCAGTACATAATGTAGGATAAATTATGAGATTAAAATTAGTTGAGACCTATTTACTTTTATTTCTATTAGGTCAACCATTTGTGAATTCTCATGGCTTCTTCAAACCAAAGTCCCTCAAAATCAGACTTTTATTTTAGAGGTCAACATTTGAATTGATATATACATATATATATACATACATATATATATACACACACGACAGATTTTAATCATTTGAATAAATGAAATGGAACACATATTTTTGGGCTCATTAAAAGGAATCAATCAGGCTGGAACCAAGTGAGGCCAGGGAAGCACCTAGGTGCCAAATATAAGAGACCTGCTCAAATTGTGGGAACAAAGTTATTAAATTTAAGTTATTCTCTTGTTCTCTCACCCAAGAATTTTATTCATTCTTTTTAAAATTTCTTTCATTACCCAACTCTGTGTGTGTCAAGTGAAGTTTATGACAAATAGTTCTCTGTGTTCAATCGTGAAGCCAAGACACTTTCTATCTTTCTCTCTTGAAGCATGACTCACTGAAAATGCCACCATCTCACACATGGATATCTGAGCCACAAAAACACTTCAGAGGTTACTATTGGCATTTTCATATCAAATTCACATGTGATAATTCAGCATGATGTTTCCTAGAATGAACTCACAAACCATTTAGCATAAATTACACTTTTATATATATCTAGTCTTAAAAACTTTTGCATAGATCAAAGTGAAGTACACTATAAAAGTATTGCTGAAGAATATATTATCTATATTTCTATAGATATATAGATATCCATATTATCTATAAATATTTATCTATATACATGTTCTTTGACATTTTTTACATCTTGAATGAACCCTGGATGGTCTCATCCTGTGACCTTAACATGGCATTTTGATGCCAGTGTCTTCTAAATCCTTATCATCAGTCCTGCCCCTTCTGGAACCCTAGGGTCACCTCTCTAGTTGCTGGTCCTCATCTGCCCTTAGATATATAATAGGCCTCAAATTTCACATGTGTGAGTGGGGTACTTGGTTCCTACCTCCTATTCCCAAATCTACTTCTTCCTCAGTCTTTACAGTCCATCTTTTTATCCTAATGTTCTCTCCAATTTTCACTATTTTCTAGGCACATGACCTTTCTAGTCCCAGACCATGTCTACCTGGTATTGTCTTCTCCCTGATGGCTAAGTGTTAATCTTCTTCCTAAGAATGTGCTGGCTCTTTTCGACACTCTGATCTCAGTTTAATTATTACCACCTCAGAAATCTCTATCTTGCCAATCAAAGGAGCCTGACTCCACTCTTTATTATAACCCTTTGTTGTAATCCGTTCGGTTTTGGATATTCCCTTCATTGTTAATGTGTTGTTAATTTGACTTTTAGACCAGGCTGGAGGGTTGGCAAACCTCTTGTGATTGTTAAGACTGGCCCTTAGTTCAAGTGACTAAAAGTTGGAATACTATGGTTTCATTTGGACAATATCCAGAGTTTAATTTGTGTAAAAGAATTAGAATGTTAGCACCAAGTAGGTGTTAATATTTGTAATTCCATGGTTTACTTACAAAGATAATAGTATGCAAATGTGTGCCCTTCAGAATTTCAAAAAGTAATTTAGAAAAACAGCACATTGTCTCATGACAAGTGATAAATATAACTTTTAATAAGGACTACCAAATAATTGAATATTTAAACTGGTTCTATCGAAGTACAACAAAAGTTGAATGGTTGCTAATAACAATCTAATTGAAGTTGTTGGAAAAAGGGCATATACCAACACACTGTTTTGGCTCTATCTTTTAGGGGGGGTAATTGGGCAACATGTTTTAAAAGTTAAGAATGCTCCTGTTGTTTGGCATGTCACTCCCACACGTAGGCATCTATCCTATAAAAACAAAAAAATACAAATGTAGAAAAATATCAGCATGTTATATGTGGCATTGTAATAGCATACAATTGGAAAAGAATATCAACATATATAAATTATTATTTATAATGTAACTATCAAATATGTAAATTACTTTATATTCATGATATAAAATATCAAAATATGAAACATTTTGTATTTATAATGTGAAATATATTTTATATTAATAATATAAAATATCAAGTCCTTCCAAACAATGTGGTAAAACTGTGTATTGGCTTGGGAATATGTCCATGCTAATAACATTAAATTAAGCAAACTGTCAAACAATATAAGATTATCTCAGGTTGTACTACAAAACTAGGATGTACTATGCATATATATTTGTATAAGACAATATGATAAACATATTTATAAAACATTCAGTAATACATACCAGACTTTTAAAATGAGTTATCGTAAGGGCATAGTTTAGAGTGAGAAGGGGAAAGACAATGGAACTTTACTGACCCCTAAATTTTTTGCCTGATTGTCAGTAGTATGTATTACTTTAGTGATTGGATGTAATTGACCCTGATGCAGTTCTTTGTATTTTAAAGAAAGTCATATCAAACATTGGCTGGAGAGAATGTTGAGATGTATGCCTATATTAATTTTCTGTTAGTCACTTAGCTGTTACTTTAGCTCTTTCTTCACATGATCAGAATCTCTACAAGGTGTTTTAAATAATAACCCCTTTATGTGGCATGACACTCCATGACTGTAGATGAGTGATGATATCTCCAGCAGAGTTACTGCTGTTCAAGAAGAGTGGGAAATGGACGGCCCAGAGCCAACGAATTCCTAAGCAACTTGGAGCCTGTTTTCACAGATAGCCTTAGTCATGAGCACTGAGGGAGGAGCCTCCCTTCTCTCCTGAAAATCAGTGATATCAGCAGATTATTTCAAAGTGCAGTGTTATTCTGATATCCATGAGCCACCAACATCTAAAAAGGGAAATGTTTCTGAAAGTACAGTCTGACCTGAATTATGTACTTTCAAACATGGAGCACAGCAGAGTTCTAGAAGGCCAGTGCTTGGGCAGAAGGAATGCTGCTCCTTTTCTTTTGGCTTGTTCATTGTTCTCAGGATGAGCAACGATTATTTAGTGTCAGTTACATTACAGTCTGTATGTAAGTGTTATGTAGACAATTTGTGCATATTTTTGTATTTAATCCAAAGGTTTTCAAATGCCCAGAAAAATAGTCTATATTTTTTCAAGGTTTTTTTTTATAAAGCCATTTTAGTATTAATCTCTGAGAGGTTAGAAATAAATCTCTGAGTATTTTGCATATCATCATAATTGGGTGTGTGTGCGCATGTATCTTTCAGTCAGAGTGCACCAGATGCCTTGTGAAGCTCTCAGTTGAAAGGCTGTTTCCCCTTCCATGATTCAGATTAAAAGAGTTTATGTGATGGAATCAATACAGCCTAGAAAGTTGTCTACAGATGTTTCTTGGGGGCGTCTGTTCAAATAATTTCCTTTGAGTACCTTTGAGTGATCTGAATTAGATGTGATTAAAGATGAAGTC